AGATAGATAGATAGATAGATAGATAGATAGATAGATGATAGATAGATGATAGATAGATAGATAGATAGATAGATAGATAGATAGATAGATAGATAGATAGATAGATAGATAGATAGATAGATAGATAGATAGATAGATAGATAGATAGATGATAGAGATAGATAGATAGATAGATAGATAGATAGATAGATAGATAGATAGATAGATAGATAGATAGATAGATAGATAGATAGATAGATAGATGATAGATAGATGATAGATGATAGATAGATAGATAGATAGATAGATAGATAGATAGATAGATAGATAGATAGATAGATAGATAGATGATAGATGATAGATGATAGATAGATAGATAGATAGATAGATAGATAGATAGATAGATAGATAGATAGATAGATAGATAGATAGATAATAGATAGATAATAGATAGATAGATAGATGATAGATAGCTAGATAATAGATGATAGATGATAGATGATAGATAGATGATAGATAGATAGATAGATAGATAGATAGATAGATAGATAGATAGATAGATAGATAGATAGATAGATAGATAGATAGATAGATAGATAGATAGATAGATAGATAGATGATAGATAGATGATAGATAGATGATAGATAGATGATAGATAGATAGATAGATAGATAGATAGATAGATAGATAGATAGATAGATAGATAGATAGATAGATAGATAGATAGATAGATGATAGATAGATGATAGATAGATGATAGATAGATAGATAGATAGATAGATAGATAGATAGATAGATAGATAGATAGATAGATGATAGAGATAGATAGATAGATAGATAGATAGATAGATAGATAGATAGATAGATAGATAGATAGATAGATAGATAGATAGATGATAGATAGATAGATAGATAGATAGATAGATAGATAGATAGATAGATAGATAGATAGATAGATAGATAGATAGATAGATGATAGATAGATAGATAGATAGATAGATAGATAGATAGATAGATAGATAGATAGATAGATAGATAGATAGATAGATAGATAGATAGATAGATAGATAGATAGATAGATAGATAGATAGATAGATGATAGATGATAGATGATAGATAGATAGATAGATAGATAGATAGATAGATAGATAGATAGATAGATAGATAGATAGATAGATAGATAGATAGATAGATAGATAGATAGATAGATAGATAGATAGATAGATAGATAGATAGATAGATAGATAGATAGATAGATAGATAGATAGATAGATAGATAGAAGATAGATAGATAGATAGATAGATAGATAGATAGATAGATAGATAGATAGATAGATAGATAGATAGATAGATAGATAGATAGATAGATAGATAGATAGATAGATAGATAGATAGATAGATAGATAGATAGATAGATAGATGATAGATGATAGATGATAGATAGATAGATAGATAGATAGATAGATAGATAGATAGATAGATAGATAGATAGATAGATAGATAGATAGATGATAGATAGATAGATAGATAGATAGATAGATAGATAGATAGATAGATAGATAGATAGATAGATAGATAGATAGATAGATAGATAGATAGATAGATAGATAGATAGATAGATAGATAGATAGATAGATAGATAGATAGATAGATAGATAGATAGATAGATGATAGATAGATAGATAGATAGATAGATAGATAGATAGATAGATAGATAGATAGATAGATAGATAGATAGATAGATAGATAGATGATAGATGATAGATAGATAGATAGATAGATAGATAGATAGATAGATAGATAGATAGATAGATAGATAGATAGATAGATAGATAGATAGATAGATAGATAGATAGATAGATAGATAGATAGATAGATAGATGATAGATGATAGATAGATAGATAGATGATAGATAGATAGATAGATAGATAGATAGATAGATAGATAGATAGATAGATAGATAGATAGATAGATAGATAGATAGATAGATAGATAGATAGATAGATAGATAGATAGATAGATAGATAGATAGATAGATAGATGATAGATGATAGATAGATAGATAGATAGATAGATAGATAGATAGATAGATAGATAGATAGATAGATGATAGATAGATAGATAGATAGATAGATAGATAGATGATAGATAGATAGATAGATAGATAGATAGATAGATAGATAGATAGATAGATAGATAGATAGATAGATAGATAGATAGATAGATAGATAGATAGATAGATAGATAGATAGATGATAGATGATAGATAGATAGATAGATAGATAGATAGATAGATAGATAGATAGATAGATAGATAGATAGATAGATAGATAGATGATAGATAGATGATAGATAGATGATAGATAGATGATAGATAGATGATAGATAGATGATAGATGATAGATAGATAGATAGATAGATAGATAGATAGATAGATAGATAGATAGATAGATAGATAGATAGATAGATGATAGATAGATGATAGATAGATGATAGATAGATAGATAGATAGATAGATAGATAGATAGATAGATAGATAGATAGATAGATAGATGATAGAGATAGATAGATAGATAGATAGATAGATAGATAGATAGATAGATAGATAGATAGATAGATAGATAGATAGATAGATAGATAGATAGATAGATAGATGATAGAGATAGATAGATAGATAGATAGATAGATAGATAGATAGATAGATAGATAGATAGATAGATAGATAGATAGATAGATAGATAGATAGATAGATAGATAGATAGATAGATAGATAGATAGATAGATAGATAGATAGATAGATAGATAGATAGATAGATAGATAGATAATAGATAGATAATAGATAGATAGATAGATGATAGATAGCTAGATAATAGATGATAGATGATAGATGATAGATAGATAGATAGATAGATAGATAGATAGATAGATAGATAGATAGATAGATAGATAGATAGATAGATAGATAGATAGATGATAGATAGATGATAGATAGATGATAGATAGATGATAGATAGATGATAGATGATAGATAGATAGATAGATAGATAGATAGATAGATAGATAGATAGATAGATAGATAGATAGATAGATAGATGATAGATAGATGATAGATAGATAGATAGATAGATAGATAGATAGATAGATAGATAGATAGATAGATAGATAGATAGATAGATAGATAGATAGATAGATAGATAGATAGATAGATAGATAGATAGATAGATAGATAGATAGATAGATAGATAGATAGATAGATGATAGAGATAGATAGATAGATAGATAGATAGATAGATAGATAGATAGATAGATAGATAGATAGATAGATAGATAGATAGATAGATAGATAGATAGATAGATAGATAGATAGATAGATAGATAGATAGATAGATAGATAGATAGATAGATAGATAGATAGATAGATAGATAGATAGATGATAGAGATAGATAGATAGATAGATAGATAGATGATAGATAGATAATAGATGATAGATAGATAGATAGATAGATAGATAGATAGATAGATAGATAGATAGATAGATAGATAGATAGATAGATAGATAGATAGATAGATAGATAGATAGATGATAGAGATAGATAGATAGATAGATAGATAGATAGATAGATAGATAGATAGATAGATAGATAGATAGATAGATAGATAGATAGATAGATAGATAGATAGATAGATAGATGATAGATAGATGATAGATGATAGATAGATAGATAGATAGATAGATAGATAGATAGATAGATAGATAGATAGATAGATAGATAGATAGATAGATAGATGATAGATGATAGATGATAGATAGATAGATAGATAGATAGATAGATAGATAGATAGATAGATAGATAGATAGATAGATAGATAGATAGATAGATAGATAGATAGATAATAGATAGATAATAGATAGATAGATAGATGATAGATAGCTAGATAATAGATGATAGATGATAGATGATAGATAGATAGATAGATAGATAGATAGATAGATAGATAGATAGATAGATAGATAGATAGATAGATAGATAGATGATAGATAGATGATAGATAGATGATAGATAGATGATAGATAGATAGATAGATAGATAGATAGATAGATAGATAGATAGATAGATAGATAGATAGATAGATAGATAGATGATAGATAGATAGATGATAGATAGATAGATAGATAGATAGATAGATAGATAGATAGATAGATAGATAGATAGATAGATAGATAGATAGATAGATAGATGATAGATAGATAGATTGATAGATGATAGATAGATAGATAGATAGATAGATAGATAGATAGATAGATAGATAGATAGATAGATAGATAGATAGATAGATAGATAGATAGATAGATAGATAGATAGATGATAGATGATAGATAGATAGATAGATAGATAGATAGATAGATAGATAGATAGATAGATAGATAGATAGATAGATAGATAGATAGATAATAGATGATAGATAGATAGATGATAGATGATAGATAGATAGATAGATAGATGATAGATGATAGATGATAGATAGATAGATAGATAGATAGATAGATAGATAGATAGATAGATAGATAGATAGATAGATAGATAGATAGATAGATAGATAGATGATGGCTTGCCAAGCTAAAATCCAAGGGGATTATTTCCAACACTGAGCTCAGAATTTTAAGTGTTTTTCTTTTCACTTATCTCTGATAAGAGACTGAATTAATCACAATTATCTAGTTTTACAGTGTTTGTTATGAGCCCTATAACATCAACCTTCCTGAAAGCCTCACTGTGTCACAGCACAGAATCATATTCCACTGATGTCAAGGGAATAATATAAGCAATCAGTTAGAAAACATTTGGCAGCCTTAAGTCCTGTTGGGGATGTTTAAAAAGGCTTGGCACACGCAACCATTAGAGCATTAAAAGTTTATCTTATTCATCTTACATGAGGCTTGCACTAGTAAAGCATCTGAAGCATTAGAGACTTGCTAGCAGGTGTCAGGACCCAAGGCTTCTCGTTTCATTCATACCTGTATGTCAGTGTCCTTGACTGGTTCCAGGGGCTCAAAGGTGGTGGCAGCACTTAGAGTTTCCAGTCTCTGTGAAATGTGGAAGACGTCTAAACCTCTGGTACCAAGGAGGATGGACCTGTTACAAGAACAAAAGATTGGAGAGGTTTCAACTGGCAGAGAAGTAATTTTACATTGACACCACTAGATGGCAGGCTAGGCTGGCAGGCAAAGTAATCTATCAATTGAACATCATGCCTGAGATTAATAACCTGGGGAAGAAAAGGGTTTAATAACCAAAAAGGTTGCTTACGCTTTCACATCTGCAGCATCTTGAGAGGTGCGAGTTAAGGTGCGGGATCGAAGCCTTTCCCCAGCCTGCTGGATCTCCTGAAGGTTCCTTTCCACATGTGGCAGTTCAGACACAGCTTCTGTTTCTGCAGCCAATTGTTCTGCCTGCTGCAAAAGCTCTCCAAACCCTTCTGCATCCATGACTCTTAACAGGTAGAGAAGTTTATAAATGTGATTTACTTGTAATGAAAACACTGAACAGTTCTCTATGGTAAGTGTTTTGCGGGTCTGGGTTTGTGCAATAAAATATTCCACTAAAAAATATATAATATTTTCATAATTTGCTTAACTTTAAAATGGTATGTGGAATATAAACAAAAATACGTTGTGATTTTACAATGTTTGACACTGTACAGACTTTGTGTTAGAGGTAATTAAAGAAAACAGATTACATGACAGGATAGCTTGCCAGTATCTCTGTCAGTAATGACAGAGTGCAACTGTCTTGAAGGGAACATGATGCTCCGTAATCAAATAGTAAACAACTACAATCACAATCATTTCAAACTCCTTAGTTAAAAAACAACTGAACCCAAAAACATACTCTATGTTTTACAGTTTATGATTCATCTTAGATGCGTCAGCTCAGAGCCCAAAGAAGTCAATGTTCACTTTAGACAAGTGTGCACTTCTACAGTCACGTTATAACTTTTATGATGCATGGATAAAAGCTCCTCCTTGCCTTGCAGCTTTTTGATTAATTAAATAAAAACAAGTTTACCCTGTGTTTACATTGAGATACAGCATAACTGAAGATATAAAACACTACTTTTAAAAATTGGATGGTCTAACCTATAATTCTTTATGCTGCCTGGAGTTATAACAAACTGTACTATTTATCTACCAACGTAAAAATGCGTCATGGGGGAAAAGGCTTGAAAGGTAAACATGAGAAAGATTACAGCTGAACAGTTGCAGCGCGCGCATGATGTGCTTGACGAGTTGAGAGATCAATCTTTACGGACGTCAACAGAATACCGTTCGATAGATAAGTTCAGACATTGAAACTGCTAAAGAAATGTGAAAACTCGTACCAGACATTCCAAAACCGTGGTAGCATGCTACAACATAGTCTAGTTACAATCAACCGGCGACGCTAAACGGTTAGCGAGCTGGCTAAGATGCTAACGCTCGCACATGTTTCGACTTCATTTAAATTGATGTTAAATTTCTCTACAGTTGAATGGAGACGATTATTATACCTGTTTTAAAGTTGGATGAAATTACAGTTCAGCCTGTTCGCCTCATGTAAGTGAATAAATGTGCTTTTTAGATAGTTTCGTTCACAGGCAAGCGTAGTCCGCAGAAAGTATACCCCGGTATTTCTGAAGTCGTCGGTGATTGGTCAATTCAGACTGTATAACGGTGCGCATGCGTCTGTCGTCACATGCCTCCTTCAGGGTACTTGGGGAATCCTAGTCAAAAGCAAAAGATACCTTTTATTTTCATGTGTGTCATTTTTTGTTTTCCGACTAACATAACATCTTTAACAGTGTACATATTTGTTCTTTGTACGTATATTTGTATCCCTGCATTGCTTTAAATAGAACTTATATTAAAAATGATTAGAAGCATCGAGAGTAAAATACTTGGGACACATCATAACCCTAACACCGTACACGTGAAATAAATGAAACAAATCTTTACATTTTTCATTTATCCCTGCCACTTGTCTTAATTGATACTTTTAATAAACATATATATTTTAAATGACCTAATACAATGCAGCCAATGGAATGATATTTTCTGTTTGTTTTTTTGTCGGCTCTAAACAAAAACACTGAAGCGTGAATCACAAAGAGCAGATGGGTGCTGAACTCCTGCTTCCAGACTCAACTGTGCAATGATCTGGTCATCTGGGGCACAAGCCCCAGAGCTACTTCATTATGTAACACAGTTTATGGGCACGTGGACATAGCTGCACAACTGTGTGACGTTTTGTGATAAAACAAAAATCTTCACACAAACTTATTTTGTTCTTGTTCCATGAGCTGCATACGTTTCTGTCAGTGAAATAATTCAAGTGGCACAAAATTATTTAGAAATGAAAAATCTGACATTATTTGAAACAAGAGTGAAAGAACGTGCCACAGAAGTTTTTCTTTTAAATGTCCATATAAACTCAACATGTCCTCCTTTAAAAACAAAAAAAGGTATAGAAATTAATGAATGAGCTTGTATTTATACTAGTATATAGTAAGTTATTGATGCCTTCACATATTGATGCTATTTTAAAAATATAAACACCACCAGAGAAAGGAAAGCTCTTTTTATCTGATATCTTGCGACAACGTTGTGATCTTTTCTGGCACACATTGTTCTAAATCATCCTTTTTATTAAAGCTCAAGTTCTTGTGAACCACTGTTTAACACGTGTTACTTTTTGATATTCCTTTTTTACATCATAGTTGTCAAAAGAGCTGATTCATAAAGTGTAATATTGTAAAATCATCTAATTTTGTTGTGATCCAAAAACTGGACTTAGAAAAATAACTTTTTCATAATAATCTTTTAAATAGTTCTAATACTCAATAAATACATTCTGTTAAACCATCTACCTGAATTTGACATTAGTTACTCCTAAAGCTGGATTTACAATTTCTAAATAATTACTGATGATCTATATCCATGTTTTTTCTCTCCAGGTATGTAGTTTATAAGAAAAATACGCTATAAATATATAAATATACAACAAAAATGATAACAATTCAAGATTCTGAAAATGAGACAGCATCCTGGAAAAATGTCTTACAGAATAATTACAATTTAAATGAAGATAAATATATAAAATTCACATCTGAATGCCAATCTAAAATGTTTTGACTTCTGCTTTACTTTAATTCCTGGTTGAGGTATTTTTATTCACGGTGTTCAATTACATGCAAGGCTGCACTGTTGTTTTAATTGCTTGCACTGTTTTCATGATGGCACAGCGCTCTGGCTGGCCTTGAGCTGATTATAAGAAGCTAAATAAATAAAGGATGATATGGTAACTTTGTTGATGTGTGGATTTTGTCTCGACTATCTCTGATTGCTGCTGTGCACCAAATCTGTGCATGTGGGACATTACAGGACTGAACATAAACATAAGATTAAATAAAAGAATACCTTAACTGATAAATGATAGAAACCTTTATAGCTCAAACCAGACCAAGTGTTTACAAAACAACCCAAACCTTTAAATGAGCTTTATTTCTATAGAAAACTTAAGATTGGCTTAAACATCTGCCACTTTGCTTAAAGAACTTTTAACCATAATACACACATCCTCTCTCGAGTCCACATATTGTCCAATGAAAGCAGGTGAAGGAGAGAGGAGTCGAGTCTCCCAGTCCGAGTCATTACTTGAACTGGTTATCGATCAGCGTGCCCTTCATCTTCGCCTTCTTGGCCTCCAGCTCCGCCAGCTCCTGCAGCCTCCTCTTGCTCATGCCCTTCCTCTCCAGCTGTTTCTCGATCACCTTTGCGTTTTGGGCGTACGAGTCGGCCACCTCCCTGGCCTCGATCTCCTCCTCCTCCTCGTCTATGGTGGAGACCGTGACGGAGCTGAACTTGCCCATGTCTTTGGTCCTCTTGGTCATCATCACGCGGACCTTCTTTGGAGCCTCCGGCTGCTTCTGGTTGTACACGCTCGTGTTACCGAAGCCCTGTCCGAACTTGACTACAGCTCCGTCAACGATGAAGGTGGCCGAGTTGTTCTTGTCCTGGTGCTGATAGAAGAGCAGAAGCCCGCACTTGCCGCACTTCTTGCGGTACTGCCGCTCGATGCCTTCGGCTCTCTTGATGTACGCGTTTTCGTCCACCTCCACGTTACAGAACTTATGTGCGTGTTTGGCCGCATCGATCACCCGGGCTCGGTCCCTGGGCCTCATGGGTAACTTCTCCAGCTGGCAGTCCAGAACCAGAACCATCTGGCCGCACAGGCAGTAGTAGACATGAAGAGGCTTTTCTCCGTCGTCGTACTCTTCCCTGTCCCTGGTGTCGGAGCACACCACGCTTCTGGACACAACCTTGGGCATGTCTTGGTTCTTTAAGCTACTTTAAACAGACTCTGTTCAAATCCCGCAACTAGAGATATCAGACCAAACGTAGGAACATTTCTACACAGAAACAATGCGCTACTTCCGGTGTACGTCACAGTTAGGGTTCCGAATGGAAACAGTTTTCTTGTTCCGCTTCAGCAACGGTTCAAGTCACGTGCTGCACAACCATGCATCAGTTTTCACGGATATTCTTTAAAACGTTCCCATCTTAAATCTGTTAGCTCTTTTAAGAGTTGGAAACACATTTAGCCATTACCAAATGTGTCTGATACGTGAGATCTAGCATAAAAGTACCTGCTCCAGTGGTTTACTTGTAAAATTAAGCCCAATTAGAGCATTTTATTCACCCACATATCAAGTGTTAGCATATAAAAACCATGCTGGGTTGGACATCCCATCTTAAAAGTTTAATTACTCGAATGTTTCTCATCCCTGATGTCTAAAGTTGATCTTGAGTTGATTATTCATGTGTTTGCATCATCCCGTTTAGACTACTGTAATAGTTTATTTTCTTGTCTAAACAAAAAAGAGCTGTCCCGCTTACAAGTCCAGAATTGTGCAGCTAGAATTCTGACCCGTGACAACAGAAGGGCCCACATTACCCCCATTTTAAAAGCTCTTCATTGGCTTCCAATCTCATCTCGCATCAATTTTAAAATTCTTGTGCTGACTTTCAGAGCGCTGCATGGTCTGGCTCCATTGTATGTTCGAGACATGCTTTGCCCTTACGCCTTCTCGCAGGATGAGATCACTGGATCATAACCTTTTAATGGTCCCACGTACTCAGTTCAGGACACGAGGAGATCGCTCATTCCAGGCCGTCGCGCCTAGGCTCTGGAATGAGCTACCTCGATCTTTACGCTCATCGACTCAGTTGATGTTTTTAAGAGCAATCTTAAAACCCTTTGTTTCTCCAGGCATTTTAACCTAGTCTCATTCGGATTGGTTGTATTTGACACCATGTATATTGTGGCTGTATTTTACTGTATTTATATGTTGTTGCCTTTTAACTTGTGAAGCACTTTGTGACCCCTTTTTGTATGTGAGAGGTGCCATACAAATAGTTACTTACCGCATCCTTGAGAATCTATTCGGTTTTATTTGAACCAAAGTTCTAGCCAAACTCGTTAAAATCATGGCAGCTGGGGCAGACCCCTCATTTCCACAAGCTGCAGCCTTTTCATAACATTAAACTGAGCCCTCAACATTTAGGCCAACTGGCCACATTACAGCTCCAGACAGACTTCCTTCACCCAAACGTTACTCCAAAATGAATCAAGTCACTAGAAGTTAGGAGTTACACTTGTTTATTTGAAATACAAAAACACATTTTCTAGACTGATAAACATGAAAACAAGGAGGGAAAGGGATTGGTAGCACAGAGTCTCGCTACTGGCAGCAAGTCTTGTCACAGGTTGCACCTTTGCACACGCAGCCAGAGGCGCACTTGCTGCAGTCGGATGGGCAGCAGGAGCAGCAGCCTGCAAAGAGAAGTCAGTTAGGAAGCAGCAGAAATCATAAAGCGGATGTAACTAGACTGTCAACCCTGGCCCGACTATCCAGCATGTTTTAGTCATTTACCTGCTCCAACACAACCGATTAGTTGGATTACAGGTGTGAAAATGCAAACTTTGCACTCATGTTAAAATTAAAAATCACAATAAAACTAGGTGTTGGAAGCATGCTGATAGAGGCCCTCAGGGACCAGGGTTGGACACCACTGATTTAAAACTTAATCTGAATAGACTAGATTCTGCTTCGATTAAATTAGAACCACATGTGCACAAAATACTGGGTAAAGAACTCAAAGTGAAAGTGAGGATAAAGGTTTTAATACAAAAATGTGTTTGAAGTAAAACAACTTACTCTTCTTGCATGATTTGCAGGAGCAGTTGGCACACTTGCAGTTTCCAGCACAGCTGCATTTGCCAGCTGAAAACAGAAGCAACATCCATTTAATGTCAAATATCAAAATAAATGAAAATTAAGATTTCTATAGCGCCTCTCAAGATAAAAATCACAAGGAGCTTCACAAAAAAAGTGAAAATATTAAAAATGAATTTAGAAAACTGTTAAAAACATTTAAAATGAGCAAAAGAGAACAGTCAACTCACTCTTAGCACACTCGCAGGGATCCATGTTTTAGGTTGCTGGTTTATTTTGTTGTTCAGGGTCTGAAGGTCGGCTGTCCTCTCTGACTGTGGCGTGTTGTGATGATGACCGTGAAGAGGCGGGTCTTTTATAGCGTCCAGCCAACGAGAGAACCGGGTGCAAAACGCGCAGTCACGTGCACGTGGGCTCGTCAGCGATGATTAGATGATTACAAAGAGGTTTTTGCACACGTCTTCGTTAACCTGCAGCAGCGGGAACAGACAATTCCCCAGCGAGGAACACTTGTTTCATTATTATGTCACCGTGCCCCAGTTTCACCAAAAGTCCTCAAGATAAATAACAGATTACAGAAAAATGTTTATCACACACACACACACACACACACACACACACACACACACACACACACACACACACACACACACACACACACACACACACACACACACACACACACACACACACACACACACACAGTAATGCCATTTCTGAAAGTTTTGTTTTATTTATCTTTCATTCATTATATATTATTTTAAACTGGAACAACGTGTCTGTGAATAAAGTTCATATTGTGCCAAAGGTAAAATATAAATACAGCTAATTAATGTTGAATTTATAAACAAGCACTGACAGGATATTTAATAAGAATTCTGTGTGAATCATTTACACAAAGATGTTGTAAACACAACATATTTTTTCTTATTATGTGTGTTTTCAGTCTTTGTGAAGTCATTGTCACACTTTAGGTGAAAAGTAAGAATTTTGAAAATATGTTTACTTTGGTAGGTGCTACAAATAAAATGGGATAGGCTCATTTTTTTGTCCAAAATCTACAAACTGTCACTTTCTTTGTTTGTATTTTGCAATTAAGTTAAAGTGTAAAAAAGGAAAGAAAATACGTTCTTTTTATTAAAGTCCTTCATATAAAAATAGCCTAAAATTGCATGAACTGTATGTAAACTTATATGATGATAACAGTTTACAATAAACATGATTTAAACTCGGAAAAAAGAATAATACTTTAGCGACAGTCAGAGCTGTGCACACGGCACGGTCCGCGTCTCCCTCGTGCTCTCGTGCTCTGCACTCGGCAGCGCTCGTGAGCAAACAAGCATTGTTACGTGCTGCGTTCATGGACCGTGTGCTGTGGGAAAATAAACAACAGAAGGAGACGAGCGCAAAGTAGATGGGAATGCGCACGAAAGCCCACCGGGAACAGACAGTTGTTGTTTTAAAAGTCAGCTAATTGTGTTATGTACGCCACTGTGCTCGTAAATATGAAAAAGTAGAAAATATTCCCCTTTTTGTCAGGAAACAGGTACGAACACAAAGCACAATTATAATTTTAACAAAACACGACTAAACTCCAACTGCCTTAACCTTGACAATGTATTGCTAGTGATTACAATAATCCACTGTTTAAATAACAAGGCTTTTTGCACCCTCCACCGGATGCACATTTTTCCCAATCATGTATTTTCTGGACACATTTCCCAGAATGAGCTGAGTGTGATGAATGTATAACCACAGGGTGTCACGAGCATCAAAACCAAGGGACACCTTTTGTCATGAGAACGACGACATCAAGTGATACCATCAATGATTTGAGATCTCTGAACTGTGATGATTTAGTGGCAAGAAATAATTCAACTTAATTTTTTACTCGATCAGGAGGAGAGTGTAAAAAAATTTAATTGTTTTCTTTTATACTCTTGCATTCATTCAAGTGGCGCCAAATATAACTGTTTAACTAGGTCACTACCTAATGTTGTCACAAAAACAAAATAGTGAAAGTTTTCACTTTAAAACTACAATGTAAATGTATGTTGCTTATTTTGATTACAACGGAAATAAAAGGTTTAATCTAGACTGAGTTATCTGATGAGAATGCTTTGTGTTTTGGAAAATCAACATAATAAATGATAAAACTGCCACCCACTGCTATCCACTGGTGAGTTATGATACAATAATAGAAGAAAACAGGGAGCAAAAATATAATTTATCTGACTAAATCATCTTGCAAAAATCTGAAATTAGGGGACACATATTTTTTATGGGTTACTGTTTAGGTCTAATATCTTGTATTGCTATCTGTCATAATCTGATCTGCTCACATGGGACATTTTCATACATTCTGAACACGCCAGTAGAAAATATCTTCATTAGACTTCAGAAGAAACAGGGTGGAGTCAAACACTGTTTCCATCATGGGAGAAGAAGTGGAGGTGGTTGAGGAATACAAATACCTTGGAGTTCACCTGGACAACAGACTGGACTGGAGAAAGAACAGCGAAGCCGTTTACAAGAAGGGACACAGCAGACTGCACTTCTTGAGGACGCTTAGGTCCTTCAATGTCTGTAGCAAGATGCTGCAGATCTTCTACAAGTCTGTTGTTGAGAGTGTAATCTCTTCAGCCATCGTCTGTTGGGGTAGCAGCATCAGAAGCAGGGACCTGAAAAGGCTCAACAGCCTAATAAAAAGGCTGGTTCTGTTCTGGGGACGACTGTGGAACCGCTGGAGGAGATGATGCAAAGAAGGATTCTCCAGAGAATCAAGAACATGATGGACAACCCCGAGCATTCTCTTCACAAGACTGTCCGACAACGGAAGAGTGTCTTCAGTCAGAGGCTTCTTCAGTTTGGCTGCAACACTGACCGCTACTGGAGATCCTTCCTGCCAACAGCCATTGTAATATACAACAACTCTTTGATGACTTATTATTATTATTATTATGAGCTACTACAGCAATCAGTTTCCCTCTGGGATTAATAAAGTATTTTTGAATTGAATTTGTTTACAAGACTGAAAAAGTGAAACGGTCTTGCAGCCCGCAGGCTCCTGAGAATGAATTGCTCTAAATCTATAAGTTTATAAAGAAATGCTGAAATTTCAGATTTTCATTTCATGGCCTTGTTTGTTCAAAAGATGGGAGATGTTCATCCTGACACAAGAACTAACCTTTCTACTGCGCTACAAGGACACCTGGTGGTCACAAATCAACAAGCACTTTTACTGCAGTTGGGTGGATTTGAGGGATCCGTCATGTCGTTGCAGCCTGAACATGAGAAGTTAAGCAGTTTCTAGATGAATTAGAGGTGTTAAACAACACTGAAGAAATTAAACCAGTCACAAACGTGTGATAGGTGTGCCTTATGAATATATTCATATGAAACCTAACCCCAGCCCAATAAAATGTTGTTTCAGTCTTATACAATAAAAACAACAACAAGCGAGCTGAAACGACAGGATATTTATTTGAGCATTTTAAGCTGATTAAAATGAGGCTTTTGAATGTAATCTTTTCCTATTTTCCATTAAAACACCACCCAGATCAGCTGTTAGAAATTTGAAAACCTTTTGACGGGAACACATTTCATCGCTTGTGAAATGAATTATCCGTCAGTGTCCACAATTGTTTTGATTTATTCCTGATCAGAACTTCAGCTTCCAGAAGTCGGGGTGTTTTCATGCAGACTCTGTAGGGCGAGGTCCGTCCACTTCATCTCCTGCTCCTTAACCGATTCTGTGGATCCGCCGTTGTCCTGCTCTGCCTCTGGCAGCTCGCTCTGCAAAACAACAAAAAGTTGATAAGTATTACTTTTGACATGGGGGCAAATGTCACCTGCCCGTACTGAGGCATGTAAAGAGCAAGTCACCCCATACCCCACTTCCTGTTTGAAAAATGTAAAAACTGCTGTTGCCTGGCAGATGGAGAAGGCAGAGCTAACTAACACACACACACACACACACACACACCTTGTTCAAGATGAGCAGCGTCTCATCTGCAGAAGAGATGAGAGCAAACAGACGCAGCACGGGGAGTGGCTAAACGCCGGCGTTTAATTCGGACAGATTTCCCTACATGTAGCTTGCGGGTGACGATGGCTGAAGATATCGCGTTAGCGTTCATTATAGTGCAAAATTCTGGTGCCTGCTAGCAATTGAAACACATTCTCACATGCTTGTGGATATCATATATTGTAGACATGTGCATCTGAAGATATTATGACTGTTTTGTCGTCGTCGTCGTCTTCCTCCGCTTATCCGGGTCCAGGTCGCGGGGGCAGCATCCCAACTAGGGAGCTCCAGACCGTCCTCTGACCATCCCCCGTCCACCTCCACCAGCTACAGGAACCTCCCGACAAGCGAGTGTCTCCATCTGACCGGGCTGTCCGAACGGCCATTTTTCGGGAATCTTCGGAGTACTGCTCTGGAGTAGGTACTCCAAACGACCCGGTGAAAGAGCTGAGCGAAACTTCCAGTTAACTCAAGTTGACTGGTTGTAACTCAATAGGAAATGACATCAGCAGACGTCCAAAACAACTGCAAGCAGCAGTAAAATTAGAATAGCTGGTGAAGCAGAATGGAAGCAAATAAATAAATAAACAAACCACTATGGCATTTAAAATCTATCTCCTGAAAACTCGGTGGAATTCCCTCACAGACTTTCATTCCATTTCCATTCCATTTTATTCATAAAGCACAGTTCTACACGGCCGAGGCCAACCAAAGTGCTGCACAGTAAAAGAGCATAAAATCAACCCACGGGAAGAAGTAATGAAAAGTAGTACAGTAACTACTATAAAAACAATAAAAATAAAACAAAAAAGATCGTAAAATGCCAGCTAGGCTGAAGTAAAAGCCAAGGAATAAAAATGAGCCTTCAGAAGTGATTTAAGATCAGAGCGAGGGGGGGCCATTCTCACTGCTAGGGGGAGTTGGTTCCAGAGAGGAGGCACACAGATTGAGAACGCTCGTTCTCCTTGCGTCTTCACCCAAACACTCGGGACCTGTAACAGGCGGTGGTCTGCTGATTGAAGAATTCGACCAGGTACGTAAGGCTGAACCATCGATATATATATATATATATATATATATATATATATATATATATATATATATATATATATATATGGACAATGAGTTTCCATAGGCTCCAATTAAAAGTTTTTGTGCCAAAATGGGAGGTGGCCACCACCGCCATTTTGACCGTGTCACAGGTTCCGTCAAGCCCAGACAATTCCACAAAAGGGAAGAGAGGCGGAGCTGAGGGTGGGGCTGTAAGGCTGGGATCAACTGACGACACCCGGTCAAACTGAAGCTAATGTAGCTGCAAGCTAACCTGAAGCTAACCCAAAGCCAACGCGGAGGTGGGAGCTAAGCTAACGAAGGTAGCAATCTAGCTACAACCGGAGTTGAACTGGGCTGAACCAGCTGAGTCAAGAAGAGAGGCACATAAAGATAGTGACTTAAAAACAAGAAGTAAAATTTTAAACTGGGAGCCAGTGCAGCTGGGTCAGAACAGGAGTAATGTGCTCCCTCCTTCTGGTGTCCGTCAAAGGGCAGGCCGCCGTATTCCGCACCAGCTGTAGGCGCACAACCGAGGAAGACGTGGATCCATAAAAAGGGGAATTTGCATAATCCAAGCGAGAGACCACAAATGCATGGATCACTGTGTGCAGGTCGTGTCTAGTCAGGATGGACTTCCATCTTTGATAGCCGATGAAGCTGGAAAAAGTAGGATCTAACCACCTGGCTAATGTGGGAGTCCATCTGCAGCTCCGGGTCAAAAACCATCCCCAGGTTAGTGATGGTTGGCTTCACTAAGCTGCGAAAACAGGGTGGTAGGACAGGACTAACTGAAGTGGGAGAGGGAGGAACAAACAAGAGAGCTTCCAACTTAGACTCGTTCAGATGTAAAAGGTTATTATAAAGCCAGCCATTCACCTCATTCAGGCAATCCACAGCCAGCTGCACTGACTCTTGAGGTTTTAATGAAACATAAAAACACCAGAGGGAAGAGAGGAGGTTTCAGAGGCAAAATCCCCCAGCCTCACACAAAAACTTCTGTTGCTGAGGTACGATCTGAACCAGTTTAGGGCAGTTCCCTGGATGCCCACTACCTGGTTCAGTCGGGACAGAAGTATAGCATGGTCTACGGTGTCAAAAGCAGCTGTGAGATCCAGAAACACCAGTAGAACATGGGAGCCGGAATCAGTGGACCACAGAACATCATTAAAAACTAAGAAGGGCAGTCTCAGTACTATGACCGGGACGGAACCCGGATTGCAAAGGGTCTAAAAGGTTAAAAGTCTGCAAATGGTCAGAGAGCTGTGTAAAAACATCTTTCTCAAGAAGCTTAGATAAAAATGGAAGCTTCCAGGGAGGTGGAGTCCAAACCAGCTTTCTTCAAAACTGGTTGGACCACTGCCTGTTTGAAAGCCTGGGGGATAACTCCAGGGGCTTGTCTCACAAAACTCAGAGCTGCTCTTGTCCTCTGAATGGATTAAATTATGATATACTTCTATAAAATAAATGCTTTAAATATTATTAATGAGGGCTGTGCAGTGGTTAGAGCTGTTGCCTTGCAGCGAGAAGGTCCTGGGTTCGCTTCCCGGCCTGGGATCTTTCTGCATGGAGTTTGCATGTTCTCCCTGTGCATGCGTGGGTTCTCTCCGGATTCCTCCCACAGTCCAAAAACATGACTGTTAGGTTGATTGGTCTGTCCAAGTTGTCCTTAGGTGTGTATGTGTGTGTGTGTGCATGATTGTTTGTCCTGTGTGTCTCTGTGTTGCCCTGCGATGGACTGGCTCTCTGTCCAGGGTGTACCCCGCCTAATTGCCCGTTGACCGCTGGAGATAGGCACCAGCCCCCCCGCGACCCTACGTGGACAAAGCGGGTTCAGAAGATGGACGGATATTATTAATGACACATTGGGCACTTTTCTGGGCTGATCAGTGACATCACTCACTGCCAAAGCAGTCGTGACCCGCTGACGTCTGTGCACGTTCTGAAAGGGCTGAATCTGAATGGAGACACAACAGCTGAGAGGACTGGGACATCCTATCTCCTGGTCAAGTTCCCCATCCCAGGAACTACCCTGGAGTTCTGGTAATGGAAACATGCCTATTGTGACATCATATGGTGCCAGCTGACATCATAGGGTACCTCTTAGCCAATAGCGATAGCAGATTTAAAATTACCTGAAGAGGGTGTAACACTGACAGTTCTAGGCAGAATATTTAAATTTTAACTAAGATGCTCTAAAATGCCAAATTATTGACTACATGTGTCTACAGCTTGATTAGACACTTATTTATGTATTTTAACAGCAAAAAGAAATTGATTTGGGGGTGACTTGCTCTTTTTTATAATTCACAAATGATTTATTTTGAACTTCGGAATGGTCATTTGAGGGATACGTTACCATTTGTTTAACCACACTGTATTTTAATGCAAACACGTTTAACGTTTTTACCAAGGGGATGGTGACATCCTCATACGGTAGTTTGTCTTCTCTCCAGGCATCATCAGTCAGATCCAGGACTCTCCCGTCTCGTTGAATTTCACTGTCCATTTCAGGTTCAGCAGCTGAAACAGCTCTCAACGAAAACCCACTCAACCTCGCAGGGAAAGCTGAAGTTCATCGAAATAAAAGAAGAGAGCAGCGGTAAATAATTTCGATAGAATATACACTTAGAGGAGACGCTACGCTTAGCTCACAGTAAACAGACGCTTAATTTAGACATAGGCGTCGACGCTTGATGATGACGACACAACGATACCTTCAGGTGCAGTGGAGAGTTTCTGAATTTTTTTACAAAGCCAACAAAGTTCTATATTTTGACCAGCAATTTAATTCAGTCTGATTTATTCAATGTTGTTGTTTATCAATAAACCACTCTGTTATAAAAGTAAAAAGCAATCAAAACTAAAAAGATGAACGATTCCGTTTCCTTCGTCTAAGTGGTTTCCATGGAAACCAGACGCATCGTTTTTCTTGACCCACGGAAGAGCTGGCGACTGGCGAGGCCTGATCAAAACAGCGCGGACATTTTTGCGGTATTTGTGTATTTTAAGGTAATTAGTATAACAATGTACGCAAACAGCGGAGGCCCTAGTAAGCCTCAGACGCATCTAGTTATGTATGTATCCAATAATCCTGTAAAAATCCCTAGCCGACTACTTCAAAACAGGAAATGTTAGCTAAACGTATTTGTCTGTGGGTGCGTGCGTGCGTGTGTGTGTGTGTGTGTGTGTGTGTGTGTGTGCGCGTGTGCGGTATTAAAGATGTGGTTTATTTGTCCTCAGATTTTAAATGTCACTAAATAATACTGTTTGCAAAAAGCGCTCACATAGCCAAAATTTTAAAAAGCTAATAATAATGCAAGCTGTTTATAATTTAACAATATAATTTTAATATTAATTTTATATATTAATAATAATTTTGTACTTTTTCTAAGCAAACACACACACACACAAATATATATATATATATATATATATATATATATATATATATATATATATATATATATATATATATATATATATATATATATGTAACTACTGAAGTTGACTTCAGCAGGATTGGTCCTGTAGGGGTTGAGTGTTGTAAACTTTTCTTTTACTTTGCAGACACTCCAGTGATGTCCCTGTCACAAGAGCAGCAGACAGAAAACACAGAACCATGCACCAGCCCTGGAAACCCAGCAGTCTCTTCCATTACCACCTCAGCAACTAGAAGCATGAAATCAGCAACAAACCCAAACATTGGAAGGATCCTCTACAGGACGACTTCAAGTGCCTATGGCAGTTTCCCTCCGACCCCTGAAAGCTCACCTCACTCCTACCACCCAAAGTCTCACAGATTTACTAAGGAACAAAGCAGAGGAGGGATGTACCAAGATAATTCTTTGAATACGGCCCTTGACCGGAGCAGGGTGCATGACTGTCCCAGTTTACATTACACCCTCTGAATTTATATTTGACTTCATTTAAATGATTTAAATGGATAAATAAAAATTGGATGATTTGCAGCTTTTCCTTCAGCTACTGTATGTAAACACATATTTCACTGGCTTATGTAGGGATTGAGTTTATTAAACGTAATACTTCAGTCTCCACTAATGGTGTATTTCGTCTTGTATTCTTTAAGGAATCAATCAATCAATCAATCATCAAACTTTATTTCAGACAAGGGATATGTCCATAACAAGAATAAAATAAAAATAAAATACAAACACATTCTAATTACAAACCGTATAGGCAGTTGTTCCAATGTTTAAAAAGGACTGAGGAGTACCTCGTGTCACTGTAAGTTACAGATGACAGCGCTCTAACAACCACGTTAGCTGACAAACTCAGTCGGCAGATGAATTTATACATGAAGAGCCTCAGAAGCGCATGAAAAGTAGGGATGTTACTCACAACAAACATGTGACTTGCCGAAGTCCATCTAGGGAGCTTCATGAGGATTCTAAAAGCATCCTGATAAGCCACTTGAAGTTTCTTCATTACTACCTTACTATAGTTGCACCACAAGTGGGCTGTATAGAGAGGAGTACAAAAGGAACGAAAGAGGGACACTTTAACAGGATCTGAGCACATGCCAAAGTTACGTGCCAGTGTGTTAGCCTGCATGTACAGCTTACCGCATTGCCTCTTAATGTCCTCGTCATCACAGAGGTCACTTCTCAAAATGTGCCCCAAGTATTTCACTTTGCTTACCACTTCGAGGACCTGATTTGTTAAGTTAAAAGATGGAAAATTGACCTACGCTAGCGTCTTTAAGAGTCACCCACTCACACACACATTCACTTACATACATTGTAGCTACAGCTGCCCTGGGATGCACTGACAGAGGTGATTTTAGCCTTTAGCATGTTGCTATGTTAGTTTAAAAACTTTAGAAGTATTTCTATTAACAAATGTCTCTGAATTGTCATGCTGTTTTTTTAAGAGCAAGTCACCCCAAATCAACTATTTTTTTCTGATAAACTATATAAATGCGTGCCTAATCGTGCTGCAGACACGTGTCGTCAATAGTTTTGCACTTTAGTGCATTTTAGTTAAAATTTCTGCCTAAAACTGTCAGTGTTGTGCCGTTGTCAGGTAAAAACTCTGCACTGCATTTGAATTTAAATCTGCCATCGCTATTGGCGTGTGTGTGTGTGTGTGTGTTAGCAGCTCCACCCTCTCGGTCTGCTAGGCAACACCGAGAGGGCGGAGCCATTAACAAATACACACACAGGCTCACCACAGCATTGTGACATCATAATGTACCAGTTTACATCATAGCATACCTCTTGGCCAATAGATAGGCAGATTTAAATTCAAATGCAGTGAAGAGTTTTTAACCTGACAACAGCACAACACTGACAGTTTTAGGCAGAAAATTAAAATTTTAACTAAAATGCACTAAAGTGCTAAACTATTGACTACACGTGTCTGCAGCACGATTAGATGCACATTTATATAGTTAATCAGGGGAAAAAAGTTGATTTGGGGTGACTTGCTCTTTAACAATTTATGAGAAAAGTTTATTTGCAATTTTTAAGGCTATTTGACCTGACAGGCTCAAAGGGGCTCTTAAACTCAACAGATGAGCAAGTGCGTCAAACAATCAATAGAAAAAAATTGGGAGGAGAAACTGACTCCCTTTAAGTAATAAATATATAAATTCGAGTTTTTATTTGTTCTGGTATGACCAAATTGCTGTTTGTATGAAGAAGTGACAACAAAACAACAAATTAAAAAAAGTTCCATAAATCCCAAAACTTAAAATAAAAACATCTGTCCTTTTATGCTAAAAATCATATTTTAGTCATCCTCTCTCCTCCCCCTGTCTCGCCTCCACGCACAGCTGATGATGACCAACCTTTCAGCTGTCTAAGCTAAGGAACTTAGCAAGCGGCTAGCTTTGTAGCAGCGTCATTAAAACGTGCACGATGTGTTAACTATGTATCAGCCTCGTTATATCACGGCACGAGTGCGCTACAGAGTTTAGACGGGTTGTGTATATGTACCTTTGCACTTCACTTGTGTTTGAGCTCAGCGTTTACTTCGTTTCTACTCACTTGTTTTGTCTGAGCTAACAGCAAGTTAGCAACACAACAGCCCGGTTAGCTTCGTATTAATATTAGCTTAAACAAGTATTACAGTAAAAATTAGCAGCGGTTAAATGTACCACAAGAGGAAGTATCGTAAGTATTATTTTACTTTAATACTAAATAATTGTTTGTTAGTGGTAGAAATGTGCATGTTTGGCAAACTTAGCTTTAACGATAACCACTACTATGCTTTATTGTGGGTGGCTAGTTTGCTAACTAGCTAACTCTTAAGCCATTTGTCAACACTAGTTGTGTCTTCATAATCAAAGTCAACATTAGTTTGATAAACTGACTAGTTTTTCATTGAAATTACCGATAAGGACCATTGTGGAAATAATTTATTTCAACAATTACAAGGAAATTTGTGGCAGGAAAAAACAAACAAAACAAACACAATCCAGTCTTTGTAAGTAAAAGTAAACAATAAAACAGCCTGACGAGTTATTATTTTTAATCATTTGGTTCGCAATATTCATTGTAACGAGTTACTAGAGCTGTCAAAAATACAGTACCGATTAAAGTACTGTAATACGTAATTTTCCTTCCACTTCTGATGACAAATAAGAGCAAGCATAGTTTAATTTACCAATGGTGACTTTTACATCTGTTGATGCTTATCTGTGTATCATTTCAGCCAGTTTAATGGCGACAGACAAAGTGATTTGATGTTACTCTGATACATTTACAGCTAATTCAGGCAGCTTTCTGTTTTCTCTCCACAGCTGTGGGAGTTCTGGATGAGAACTCTGTCTAAATCCTGCTTTTATTAATGATGCTTGCAGCTTTCCTTTTTGCATCACCTGACTCGTACTGGTCCAGCAGACTCACCTGATTTTGCTACTCCCAAAACAAATCTGTGCTTGGAAACAGTATGATAATTTATAGTGATCCCACCCAGCCCACAGGGACAAAAATCCCCCCAAACCAAGCTCTCCAAATGATATGATAGTAGCTGCCTGGATTACTTTCTGTGCCTGCAGGAGCCTTGCACAGGTTCTGCACCTCTTCTCCTCAAACACCCTTCCTCCATCCTGGGAGACCCTTGCCAGTGTGGTCTGTGGCCCTGGAACAATGGGAAACAGTTGTGTGTGTCGAGAGGATAGTGACTTAGAGGACCATCATCATCATCATGGGTCATTGAGAGCAGCTCGAGGACAAGCCAGACGGGTTGATCACAGCACAGCTGTTCGTGTTGATACTGGAGAGCCTAGAAGCAGTCGGCCAAGAGACCCAGTCAGACCACCGCGCAGAGGTCGAGGGCCTCATGAGCCTAGACGGAAGAAGCAGAACGTGGATGGCCTGGTGCTGGACACTCTGGCTGTCATCAGGACACTTGTAGACAAGTAAGTCTAGAAATGCAGCATTTATGTTTGTGGACAGGTGCTTTTACTGAAGCAGTTAATCTGGTAACGATTGAAATCATGTAAAAAGTCAGTATTTAATTTCCGTTTAGTGACGAAATTGTGCAGTCAGACTTTTTAATGTGTGCTGGGTTTCAGTAGTTTAACTTCTTAGAAGGATGGATTATAAAAATAATCACAGATTACAACTGAACCATTGTTAAAGTTGTGGAACATCCTTTAGTGTTGAAATTTCTCTTTTGGTCTTATGACAATTATACAAAGTTTAGAAACCCTCAGGAACAGCATACACGTGTGTGTGTTAGGGTTAGGGCTGTGCTCGAGGTCTCACATAGACATTTATATTTTAATTGACACATTCAGTCACCGTTTAGCAACATTTTAGAGTTGAGCTGTTTTTTGGATCTTCAGAAGCTACATCAGCTCCAACAGTAATCCACACAAATCTATCACTTCTGTAGACCTGCCTCAACCTTTTCACAGTCTCAGTACATATCTGTCTGTGAACGTGTCGAAACACATTAAGGTGTGAATTACTTTATATTATTAGTCATTACAGTGGCTGTTTCCCAATTCAGTAAATCGTGGATCCATCCAGAGATCTCAGGGATTTTACTTCTGTTGCTTTTGCGAGTTTTTACTCAGAGAAATCACAACAATGTGCCTGAACATGAACCTAAAACAGATTCATTATAACCTGTTCCATCTCTGCTTTGTTATTCAGTGACCAAGAGCCTCCTTACTCAATGATCACCCTGCATGAAATGGCTGAGACGGGTAAGAAATAAATAAATGTATTTTCATATTAAACACATAAACTCACATTAGAAAGTTTCAGAAACGACCAAAAGGCTTCGTCAGTTCCAGGAAATCAAACAAACCTGTACCCTTTTGGGCTGAAGCTGCTTTTTGAGAATCACTGAGGAAGTTATTTTAATCAGATGTACAAAAAAAATCGTGTTTTCAGATCTTCACCATGTTTGTTTTCTAAGATTTCCCCTTTTATACTCGTGTTTTAATTCAGCGCGTCTCCTCAAAGGGCTCATCAACTCATTTTAATAACATGCTTTTGTATTATGCTCAGGAGAAACTACCTTTTTATTGATGTTACTTCAGACTTTTATTAGTTTAGGGTTTTGTAGAAATGTCACTTTGCGTTGCAGCTGGTACAGAATATCACTAACCAGATGCGTTTGGTTGATATTTATGATAAATATGTTTGCTTTTTGGACTTTAAACACCAGCATGCAGTAGTTTGAGCTTAATAATCTGTTCAACACTGCATCTGAGAAGTTTTTAAAAAGGCAAAATTTAAATATTCTGCCTAAAACTGTCAGTGTTGTGCCGTTGTCAGGTAAAAACTCTGCACTGCATTTGAATTTAAATCTGCCATCGCTATTGGCTAAGAGGTACCCTAGAATGTTAGCTGGTTCCATATGATGTCACAATGTCGTTGTGAGCCTGTGTGTGTGTGTATTTGTTAGCGGCTCCGCCCTCTCGGTCTGCTAGGCAACAGCATTTGTTGCATTTTTCAAACAGGAAGTGGGAGTGGAGCAATACTCTGGTAGGGGGTGACTTGCTCTTTAATAAATTATTCACCCGATGTTCGAATTTTCCTCTTTAAAATTGAATAGAGTTGACATTTTTAAAATCCACTTGTGTATTTGTAATGTAAATATATTTCTACCATCCTGACTGACAGTTTATCTCAGCCTGTGTGTGTTTTCTTTTGAATATGTTGCATGATGCCCTCCTGCTTCATGTGTTACTCAGGGTTGTTTGCAGCAGCAGCAGAAATCCTATTTGCGCTCCTTATGTTTTGCACAGATGGTGTTTGCTTGTAGGGCAGCAGCCAAGTACAGTATTGACTTGCAGATACTGAACCTTGAAGGTAGCCAAGCATCAAGTGAGCCAGCCAGCAGTCTCTCTGTTTTATGAGCTGCAGTGTTGCATTATTCATGAGCAGGTTGTCCTGCTGTAGAGGGAGCGGTAGAGCAACTTTACTTCATTCATAATCAAGGAAATGTTCATTTTAAGTGCTTTTACTGCATTTGAAATTATGTTGACCTAAATAATAAAAGTCTGTCATTATTCTTCATGCGACTTATAAATAATTGTATTTATGTGATTATCTTTAAGCACATTAGATGATTTTTCTATTATTATTTTTTTAAGATGATGGCTGGCTGGAGGTGGTCCAGTCTCTGATACGAGTGATTCCACTGGACGATCCTCTCGGTCCTGCAGTTATCACGCTTTTACTGGACGAGTGTCCTCTCCCTACCAAGGTCTGTCCTTAACTCTGGGCGTTATTGATCTCGTCTCTAATGCGTCTCTTGTTTTTGTCTTTAGTTGCAACATAAACCAGAAAATAAATGATTGTTCACAAACTAGTTGAGTTTTTTTGTGTGTGCTATATTTGTCTTAAACATCAATAATTAAATTTTACTTACAGATACTAAAGTAAACTGGAGAAATGCCAGACTTGATTAGCTTACTTCACAGCTGTTTCTTCCTCACTGGTTACTGGGTCGACTCGCTGACGTGTTTAGTACAAATGGCCATGATTAGAGTAAATTTTTAGATTTTCTCTGCAGGATGCCCTCCAGAAACTTTCTGACATGTTGAATTTGAGCGCGGCTGTTGCACGACAGGACGCTCTCAGCCCCGCTAAACACAGAAACACCACAGCTGTCCTGGGATGCCTTGCAGAGAAACTGGCTGGTATGACTCACGTTTATGGTGTCAGAGATACAATTAGGTGATAAATAATGGGTAGATTTACCTGAGATTAGCTTTGTGATGCTGTAATTTAATAATCCGTAACCTCTTCAGATAAAAATGTTTTTTTTTGTCTTTAATGTTTGTTATTCTTTGTAGGACCAGCCAGTATCGGACTGTTAAGTCCTGGATCCCTTGAGTACCTTCTAGAGAGCTTGGTGAGCATCGCTGTTGCTTGGCATTTATAAGTGGGATTTATTGCATAAATCACACTGTTGCATGTGGAGTTTTTAAGACTTGTGATTGCTTCAGTAAAGCTGCAGGTACTCTGAATGGGTAGGAGCCTGCCTGCATGTGTTAGTGCTGTTTGTGAGCTTCAGCGTTACTATGCATGCACCATGGGCAATTATGTGTGATTATGTCAGAGTTGGGCTAAAAAAACCTGACAAATAAGAAGAAAGACTTGATTTTCTAAGAGCTTCTATTTCTCAGTGCTGAAATGAAAACTTCATGTTTTCATAAAAGATGTTTTTGTCAAGCTGAATGTCATTTATTTATAGTGTATTTCTGTGAATTTTGTTCTCTAGAGTGCAGAGTCCCACCCTACTGTCATGCTGTTTGCTCTCATCGCCCTGGAGAAGTTCTCCCAGACCAGTAGGTTCACTGCCTGGATCTCAGAGGCTCCTCAGAGTTAAAGCTGCTGTTTTAAATGCAAACACGGTCAGGGAACACGCACCCCTCCCCTCGGGTATCTTCCCTGAGACCCTTTTGCCAGAGGAAACGAGATGGTGCTAAACACCAGTCACTGTTTTCTACGTCCAAACTTCTTTGTTGTCTGTGAAATGAAATGGTGTTTTTCTTTTTGGGACTCTGGTAGTTTGTCCTAAAGCTGAAGTGGTAGCAGCCGGCTGTTTCTCCTTCTCTGATGTTATTGAGCGGTAGGGCTGCAACTAACGACTATTTTAATAGTCGACTAGTCACCGACTATTGAATCGATTAGTCGACTAATCAGATAATTATTACATTTTTCTTAAATTTAGCATGAGATTTGCTTTAATTATGTGAAAAATGATAATGAACACAAGAAAGATGGGTACTTCAATGGAAAATGCATATTTTATTGAACTTTGCTGCTGATGGGCAAATTCATACTAAAATAAATAAAAATGTCTAACACCAAGTAGGCACAGTGCCCAGTCAGACGTAAATGCATAAATAAAATTAAAATACTTTTGTCAGGCACAGTCGGGCGTAACATTAAATCTATAATAAAAAATGAAAATACGTTTAAAAAATGTACATCCAAAACAAAACGTGTTGGCTTTCCTGTTATTTAAATCCTACCGAGGCGAGTCGGACTCTGTTTCATTCAACTGTCCGACGTGCTTTCTCTTTAAAGAGCAAGTCACCCCCTACAAGAAACTTGCTTCACTCCCACTTCCTGTTTGAAAAATGCAACAAATGCTGTTTCCTGGCAGACCGAGAGGGCGGAGCCACTAACAAATACACACACACACACGCAGACTCACACCGACATTGTGATGACATAATGTATCAGCTGACATCATAGTGTACCTGTTAGCCAATAGCGGTAGCAGATCCAAATTCAAATACAGTGCAGAGTTTTTCCCTGACGACGGCACAACGCCGACAGTTTTAGGTAGAATATTTAAATTTGAACTAAGACGCACTGAAGTGCCAAATTATTGAGTACACGTGTCTACAGCACAATTAGACACTCGTTTATATAGTTTATCAGCAAAAAAAAGTTGATTTGGGGGTGACTTGCTCTTTAAGTGTTCGTGCTGCCGTGATACGCGACGGCTGCTTTGAAAACAATGCAGGTCATCTTTTTATTCGCCGAATCCCGGCTAGAGTGCTCCCAAACTTTAGTTGTTTTGGTACGCGTAGCTGCGGTGTCGGACGCCGCCATTTCTGTTAGCTGGCGCTCAGCAGGGAAGCTATTGCGCATGTGCGACTCTCGGCAGAGATTGTAATGAAGCGAGCTGCCTCACTCGGTCAGAAAAAACACGTCCGGCGACGTCGACAATGAAATTCATCGTCGACTATTTCTATTGTCGATATTTGTCGACAAATCGTTGCAGCCCTGTTGAGCGGAGAACCTCTCACACCGGTGGTGGTCTGTTGCTAAATACGTGCGTGTGTGATGAGTGGAGGACCCGGGTAAGTGTGGCGAGACAGACAACCGGATGGTCCAATGGCTGCTTTTGATCCGAGCCGTGTTATTGGTGTTTTTTAGACCAATCTGAGAGAACCACTTTACAAATTTTTACATTTTATTTATCTCCACAATATATTCATAACTATAAAATGTTAGAACATTGTTAAGATGCATGAAAACATGTTTTACGGTCTTTTGTTTTCCAAATTTGCTTTTGCAGCTTTAATATTGATTTGACTGAAAACAAAAACATTACTATTAATAAAAATCTTGTGACCCTGAGTATTGCTAATACACCATTAGCTATTAGCATTCTTTTTTTTTTTTTTACAGCTTTGAACATTAAATGAGGCCTTCTTTTTCCTTTATGACTGAATATTTGCTGCTTTAAAGCTGCTAACTGCTAAACGTCCGTGCTGCAAATCCCACGTCTCTTACGTGATACGTAGCTAACGCTGATTTTTGGTTTGATTGGTTGAATTTTTCCAGCTAACCTGTGAATCTTCTGGCTTTCAGGTGAGAACAAACTGACCGTGTCTGAGTCTTCTATCAGTAATCGACTCGCTGTACTGGAGTCATGGGCCGACCATCCGGACTACTTGAAGAGGCAGGTGGGATTTTGTTCCCAGTGGAGCCTCGACAACTTGTGTGAGTAGATCTTAATGTTCAGACCTTCTGTCGCCGTGCATGCGAGACAAACGGGACCTGAATAATTAGATGAGTTGCCTCTCTTGAGTCCAGACGGCAGAGTGATGTCACATTTCTGCTGCTCTTTATGCAGTCCTAAAAGAAGGTCGTCAGTTCACTTACGAGAAGGTCAACCTCACCAACATCAACGCCATGCTCAACAGTAATGATGTCAGCGAGTACCTCAAGATTTCTCCTACTGGATTAGAGGTGTGTGTCTGTCTGCGTTCATCTGTTAAATGGTTTGAAATAAAAAAATCAATATTTTAAGGACGAGGATGGATTACCTTTATCTTTGCTCCTGCTTCAGGCACGATGTGACGCCTCATCGTTTGAGAGCGTGCGTTGTACTTTCTGTGTGGATTTGGGCGTTTGGTACTACGAGGTGACGGTTATCACATCAGGAGTGATGCAGATCGGATGGGCCACCAAAGACAGCAAGTTTCTGAACCACGTACTTCCTGTTCTTCCCTCAAAGCTTTTTCTACCGCTCTCATTGGATTGCCTAAAGGTTTTATTTATCTTCTCAATTCTTTAGGAGGGCTACGGGATAGGAGATGATGAATACTCGTGTGCATACGATGGCTGCAGGCAGCTCATCTGGTACAACGCTCGTAGTAAACCTCATTCTCACCCCTGCTGGAAGGAGGGTATGTACTGCTAACGGTGTAAATTACAAGGTGTCCTTTTTAGCAGAGTCACTGACCCTAAACAGCAAACTGAAAGGTTTAAATGCATATTTGTTGGACTCTGCATGCAGAGTTAAAATTCGACTGATGTCCTGCTTTATTCTGCTGTGTGTCCGTTTTAGGCGATGCCATCGGCTTCTTGTTGGACCTGAACAAAAAGCAGATGATATTTTATCTTAATGGACATCAGCTTCCACCAGAGAAACAAGTTTTCTCATCGGCTACGTAGGTTTCCTGTCACGTTCTCCCCTCATGCTTCTCTCTCTCGTTCCTCCGTGTTCTAAAAATAAACCCCTTTGTCTTTTTCTCTCAGGTCTGGTTTCTTTGCTGCAGCCAGCTTCATGTCCTATCAGCAGTGTGAATTTAACTTTGGGGCCAAGCCTTTTCGTCACCCTCCCTCTGTCAAGTTTAGCACCTTCAACGACTTTGCCTCGCTGCTGCCCAGTGAAAAGATCATCCTTCCCAGGTAGAAACACCTGGGTGGGCCTTCATGCAGCTGACGTTGCACCATACGTGTTTGGAAAGGTGGTGTGTAAGCCTCTGCGTTACCTAACCGTCGTTGGAAGACCGACCGTGTTCAGTGCGTAGGTTTGGCAGGAAAACAGCATGACTCATCACTTGGGATTGAGCCAGTGCACTAGAAACATATTTCCTGTTTATATTAAATTTAAAGAGCAAGTCACCCCCTACCAGAGTGTTACTCCACTCCCACTTCCTGTTTGAAAAATGCAGCAAAGGCTGTAGCCTAGCAGACCGAGAGGGCGGAGCCGCTCACAAATGCACACACTCAACATTGTGACATCATAATGTACCATCTAACATCATCGTGTACCTCTTAGCCAATAGCGATGGCAGATTTAAATTCAACTGCAGTGCAGAGTTTTTACCTGGAGAGTGACAGTTTTAGGCAGAAAATTTTAATTTGAACTAAGATGCACTAAAGTGCAAAACTATAGTCTACACGTGTCTGCAGCACCATCAGACACGCATTTATATAGTTTATCAGCAAAAACAACACTGATTTGGAGTGACTTGCACTTTAAGAAAATTCAAATATCCCCTCATGCAACTTATCTTCAACATGCATTTATTATATTAAATCCTCCTCCTCCACACATCTGTTATAATCACGTTTGTGTGGTTTCGTGCCATTTTACACTAAAAACAACCGGCGTCCTCGTGAAGATGTTCTAGAAAATCACTTCAATTCAATTCAAGTTTATTTATAAAGCGCCAAATCACGACAAGAGTCGTCTCAAGGCACTTCACATAATAAACATTCCAATTCACAGTTCATTAAGCCAATCAGAAATAATGTTTCCTATATAAGGAACCCAGCAAATTGCATCAAGTCACTGACTAGTGTCAGAGACTATACAGCAATCCTCATACTAAGCAAGCATGCAGCGACAGTGGAGAGGAAAACTCCCTTTTAACAGGAAGAAACTTCCAGAGAATCCTGGCTCAGTATAAGCAGCCATCCTCCACGACTCACTGGGGATCAAGAAGACAGAGCAGACACACACACACACACACACACACACACACACACACACACACACACACACACACACACACACACACACACACACACACACACACACACACACACACACACACACACACACACACACACACACACACACACACACACACACACACACACACACACACACACACACACACACACACACACACACACACACACACACACACACACACACACACACACACACACACACACACACACACACACACACACACACACACACACACACACACACACACACACACACACACACACACACACACACACACACACACACACACACACACACACACACACACACACACACACACACACACACACACACACACACACACACACACACACACACACACACACACACACACACACACACACACACACACACACACACACACACACACACACACACACACACACACACACACACACACACACACACACACACACACACACACACACACACACACACACACACACACACACACACACACACACACACACACACACACACACACACACACACACACACACACACACACACACACACACACACACACACACACACACACACACACACACACACACACACACACACACACACACACACACACACACACACACACACACACACACACACACACACACACACACACACACACACACACACACACACACACACACACACACACACACACACACACACACACACACACACACACACACACACACACACACACACACACACACACACACACACACACACACACACACACACACACACACACACACACACACACACACACACACACACACACACACACACACACACACACACACACACACACACACACACACACACACACACACACACACACACACACACACACACACACACACACACACACACACACACACACACACACACACACACACACACACACACACACACACACACACACACACACACACACACACACACACACACACACACACACACACACACACACACACACACACACACACACACACACACACACACACACACACACACACACACACACACACACACACACACACACACACACACACACACACACACACACACACACACACACACACACACACACACACACACACACACACACACACACACACACACACACACACACACACACACACACACACACACACACACACACACACACACACACACACACACACACACACACACTCTTAAGCCAACTCTGACAGTGGAGCGCCCGGACTTTGATCCTCATAGCAGATCCGAACCAAAACCAGTTCAAAGGTGTGTGCCAAACCTGTCTGGAGGTTTCTTCTTACAGAAAAGCTTTAACTGTTCCATATTCGCCCCGAGGCAGGAGAAGCTGACTAAACTTAAATATCTGTGTAGCTAAAATGTTGACTCCGCATCTGCATCTGTTGAGGTTTTGTGTTCTTGAACGCTGTTTTGGAAACACCGGGTGTTTTGTTTTCCAGACACCGGCGTCTGGCCTTACTGAAGCAGGTCAGCATTCGAGACAACTGCTGCACGCTGTGTTGTGACGTAATGGCTGACACCGAGCTGCGGCCTTGTGGACACGGGTACGTGTGCGCCTGCTGAGATCAATATTCACTTAAACAAGGTGCTGCACATAGATTTTCTGTGAAAAAATATTTTGTGTCATATCTGTTTTATTCCAGTGGGATGTGTATGGAGTGTGCCTTACAGTTAGAGACGTGTCCCTTGTGCCGCCAAGACATCCAGACTCGCGTCAGACTCATTGCACATGTCTCCTGACACACTTCCTGCCCTTCCTTCTGTAAGGAAACACTCACAAGGCCTACGATTTCCTTCTCTTCTGATTCTCGCTCCACAAAGACGACTGTTGGAAAGGCGCCACTGTTGTGCTTTGATGGTGACAGAAGGGCACGTTTCAGCCGGAGGAGGCAAGAAGGAAGGAGTTGAGAGAGGAATTGCAGGAGATGAGAGGCGAGGGAATCAAACCGCAGCTGGACTATCCCAGAAGCTTTTCTTTTATGGCCTAAATCTCCCGTCTTGTATCCTGACAGTTCAACACAGAAGCTGCACCAGGAAACTGTTTACTAACGGAGTGCTTTTCACACAAGAGATGCAACAGGAGCAGAGACGTGATAACTTGGTTACAGGAGCGTCTTGTTTGTGTAAAGTCAACTAGAAACATTCTCTGAGATCTGCAGATCTCATTTGACGCGCTTTCAGTCCAGAGGCTACTCCTATTTAATCGCATCGACATAATGCACGCGTCTGCAGTTTTAAAGGCTGGGCAGCAGAAAACGGCACAGCCTGTAGTACAATATTCAGCCTAAGGTACAGATCAGTTTCAGATGTCTGCTTTTCTTTTCTTTTGTCTGTAGTTTTGTGAATTACTGTAACTCAAGGTAGCATTCCCATTCTCTGGTTTTGCAGAGCTAATCAGACGGGTTTACTTTATGGATTGATTGACATCCAAGCTGCTGTTTTTTTTCATTGGAAAATCTAATTTAGCATAAATAAATCAGATTTAGCTCAGTTGTTTAAAAGTAATCAGCTGTCTTACATGGATGATGTTGTTGTCGTGATTCATGAAAAACAATCAGTGAAGAAAAATAACCTTTTTCAACCTGCAGCTAAAATTCTCTTCTTTGCTCTCATGCTGATCTTTCCTCAGCCACCATCATTTATGAAGCAAAAAGAAAATAAAATTGACCAAAACTTAACGTCTGACTGCAAAAAGCTGCTCTCTTTTAAACTATAAAGTCTATAAATGAACTGAATTTATTTGCTTGCAACAATCTTGAAGTTAATGCCAAGGGTCGCATAACAGTTTGTCCTGATTTTTGTTCTTGATGACAGACTCGTGTTCGTGTTTGTGCTTCAGTGTGGGATATAATCGTTCTCTAAAGACTCAAACATTTCTGAGGCGTATATAAAATTTTGGAGATGTTTTTCTATCACAATCACCTTACCCAGCTCTTCTGTTACTGGGAATCTGAAAACTGTTGCACACATGTTGAGTTCTTAAATGCAAGAGTCCATGATCTTTGTTTTTTTGGCCACACGGCCCAAAATCTGTTTTCTCTGAAATGTTTCTGAGTGACTCTTGCTCTTTTCTGATTTGTCCTGCTCCTCGTGTCTCCAGCCTCGTCTTGTTCATTTTTGTGAAATCTTTACTTGAAACATCTCTTGATTTACAAAATAGTTTGAAACGGGTGACAAAATTAATGTAAAAGAGAATGTGATTCAGGAGAAATGATTGTTCAACTAAAAAACACCACTGAATGGCATTTCAAATTAAAACACTGAAGAATTTTAGAATATTAATTATGGAAAAGATCATCCATAGGCCAAAAAGCATAAATAGAATTTGTAAATTCATTTTAAGATTATGCTCGAGTACGTTCTGAAATATTATGAATCTCGGTATGTTAGGAGTCTGGTCAGCATGTCACATTGTTCCTGGAGCACCTTCCTCATGGAGGTGAGAGAAAAGTTGTATCTGTGGTTGGATATGAAGTTCAGGATTGTAAAGGATTACTTGTGAGTTGTATTTAAAACATTTATATAGGAATTATGTCCTGGAGTTCCCAAAGATGTGATTTATAAAATAATTGTTTCTTGGTTTGTGATATTTGAAATAAATGTATGTCGATGTAAATTACACATTTGTCTTCAGGTGCAGGTGTAGTGTTTTTTTTTAATAATAATAAATGTTTGAGGAGGGGAAATGTAATTCTAATGAAAACTAGCAAATAGACCGATTTTCTCATCTAAATCTTGTGTGCATCCATTTTCTGCAGCAAAATGACACTAATAAGAAATCTGAGCTGTCTAACTCTGACTTTTTATAGACATTAGAGTGGACAAGTTAGCTATTAAATAATCCTATACACATTTTACCACCATATCCACACCAGAATTAACTGAATCAGTTGATAATATAGTGATCAGTTTGTTTAATAATATTCTAATCATGAAAAAACTGACTTAGGTACATTTTTAGTTTGAAAATAGTGGCCTCTGTTTCAAAAATTAATACATAAAATGAAACCTACAATTCTAATTATTTTGTTATCTTAAGTAATGAACTTCAGCTTAATGGTTATCGTTTTCAAAGCATTTCCAATATTTGATTATTTTATTTTAAAGTATTTTAAATACTCTAAAAGTGTGTGAAGTCCTACTAGTCTTAACATTATAAATGTAAGATATATCGCCCAATAACAAGAAAAAAGAAACGTGTGTGTTTTTGAAAGTTTGTTTACAATCCTATGTAGGAACTAAAGCCCAGAGTTATGTTTTACCGGACGTTTCCTAAAGACGGACCCGCAGACCCTGTTTCCTTGGCAACTACATTACGATGGCGACTTGGGGTAAATTGAATAAAATGGACGTCTGTGAGCTCGGTAAGTGAACAGAATGTATTTAATAGTTGATTTGGATCTAAAGTTGAGATAGATAGTATTTATAAAATTAAAATGAGATGTTTCATTGGTGTATTTTCATTTTAGCAGCGTTTCATGCTATGTTATTAGCATCATAGCGTCTAAAAGTTTGATGTTTTTATTTAGCATGTATGCTACAGCTGTTTTATCACCACAACAAAATAATGACGCGACTTCACTTCACTGCCCAGGTGACAATAGCTGTGGAGAAGAAATAGAGACGGGGGAAGAAATAATCGCTGTGTCCAGGTGAGTTGAACCCCCCATGGGCCAAGTTTAGGCCAAGTTCCTGCAGGATAAAACATCTTAATTCAGGGAGTATTTGATTTGTAAACCCGTCCACTACTCTATCGCTTTGTTGGGTTTGAATGAACCATACTGCAAACCTCTTGGTCTAATCAGGATTTACATAAATGAAGAAATCCAATGGAATTTATTTTTCCAAGGATTTATTTAATGCCATGATGGAAGGAAGAGCATGAATCCAGTAGCTTCTCAGAATCTTTCTAGTTGTATTTTTTCAGGCCGGAGCAAGGTAAACAGGGTGAAGCAGAAGTAGACTCAAGATCTTTCTAGTATCACATTTGTCAGACATGTTAACATCAGTTCCTTTGTTGTGTGTTTATGAATCATGTCCTGGCTCAGAATCAGAATCAGATGCACACTCCAAAGCAGAGGGACATGTTTAGATATTACCAATTTCCTTAAACGTATTCATGAAAATCTTCAACATGAACTGAAGCACTTAGGTGAATTAGCACCCCACGATGTTATATAGGACTGTTTTGTAGCTTTTTGGGAGACATGTGTGTGTGTGTGTGTGTGTGTGTGTGTGTGTGTGTGTGTGTGTGTGTGTCCTTTTCTTTTTAGCTCTTCATCTGCAGAAAAAGTCTTTGATTCCATCACTGGCTGCTTACAGGACATCATCATCAGTAAGAATGTCAAAAATCTTATTTTTTTTTTCATTTTGAAAGTGAATAAATGCAGCCACACATGTGTTGAGAATACTTTTCAGTGATTTGAAAAGAACAACAGCTCTGTGAGATGGAATTAACTAAAATTAATTGTCAGTATTCAAAAGAATATATCACTAAAATCCTAAGAGAGAAAAATGAGGTTGTAAGTTATAGAAATCTCAGGTGTGTACATTTGCAAAATTCTCCTTGTTTAATATTCTTTTCCTTTAGCGGAGGAGTTTGAGCACCTTGAGACGAGTTTCTTGGAGAAACACTATCTGGAGTTTGACGACTCTGATGAGAACAAGCTCAGCTACACACCGATCTTTAATGAATACGTGAGTAGCCCGACCTCTGGTGATGCTTCAGTTTCCGATCCACACTCTGCTGCTGATGTTTGTGCGTGGTGTGCAGGTCAACATGTTGGAGAAGCACCTGGAGCAGCAGCTGGTTGCACAGATTCCTGACTTCAACTTTAACACCTTCATAGAGCTTTTCATGTAAGCTGTAACATCTCAACCCTATCAGCTACATGATGGTGAAACAGCTAAATGGGTGAACACAAGCGTTTCACCTGTTGCTGATAAGTTCCTGTTTTCTAATGACCACTAGGGGGCACACATTCACAGACTTCTCCTTTCTTTGCAGGCAGAACAAAGAGGAAGGGCCGTTGGACATCTATACCATATTGTTGACATTCACAGAATTCACGGCCTTCAAGGAGAAGATTCTCGAGTACAGAGCTGTGAGTAGTTTGCAAAGAAGACATTTAAAGCAAGGATTTCCTTTTTTTGTTTCATCCTGGCACATTTATAGCAGTGGCCGTGCTCCGTGGGTTTATCGGTGCTAAGCACATACAGATGTGGTGCACCTCTGTTCAAAGAGAAGGGCCACTCAGATCATCTGAAAAGGACAAAAGTAATAATAAATACAAAATCTATGTATTCATAAAATCCGATATCGCCTTTTAAAAGTATGAAAAAGTATCGTGTGCTAACTTCGTAATTCTGTGCTTTTAGAAAAAGGAGGGCAGACTTCTGGATTCGAGTCAGGATCTGGTGGTGAAATGTCTTTCTGCGGTCTCCACACAACCCCCCCCCTCACAATCACCGTGATGCTCTCCATTTGCCTCCTCACTCATCTGTGTCCATGAGCCTTCAGGGTGTCATCTTCAGGATGCGCTCCTCAAACGTTGCTGACTACAGCTTAGTCCTCCTTTTACTGGTGAAGATAAAACATCCTTTGAGTTGTTTCTTATTTTTTATGTTGGAATTTGAAAGCGAGAGTCCTAATTTTGACCTACCCGTGTTTTGTTGTTGAAGCCTTTATTTGGTGCACAGGTAGCAGATAATTCCTTCTGCTGGAAATGAATGGTTGTGAAAGTGATGTTTGCTGTATAGTTTTTATGTGAAATTAGTGGATATTCAGCACGTTTTTGTGTATGTTAACGTTGAAGTTTCATTTTAAATGTGTATTTATGCCACCAGAAACATTGCTTTTGTGTTTGTGAACTGATCTTTTGTAATTAAACACTTGAAATCATTAAATTCAAACCTTTATGTTTTATTAATGATCCAACAAATCACGAATATCCAAATTTTTTGTACACAGAGCTTTTTCTTGTCTTGTCTTTTTTAAATAAAAAGGCACATTACAGTACAAGAGAAGGAAAACAAACACATGGAGCCGTGTTGAAACTGTGAGGTTATGTTTGTCTTTCAGATTCAGCTTAAGGATGTAAAAAATACCTTCAGCTTCTTGCAACATTAGATGTGAACGCTATTTTTATCCATTGTCCCGTGGCCACCAGGGTGCACTTTTATCTCCGGGATAATTTAGCAGGTTTCTTGTCTGCATGCTTGTTTTTTTTTTTAGTAAATCTAAACTCACTGTTGCTGGGATACATCCCGGAGAAAACTGAACGAATAAAACAATTCTTTAATTGTAACAATGGCTTTGAAAACTTTATAATTTCCTGTAAAAGAAAAATAAACACATTTTTAGATGGACAGGATAGAAGTAAGTTTTAAAGGTGTGGAACACTGAAAAAACACTTTTAATGATATTTCTGATTCTTATGGGTCTCTTGAGTGTTTCATGCAGGCTGAACATGAAAATAGTCTCCTACACCTGTCTCCTGCATTAGCTTCTGATAGAAAACAGACGGTGAAACTCTAGGATTAGAAAAGTCTGACAGATCTACGTCACACTGTCACTAACATTCATGGACTGGCCAAACTTCATTCACGACGGGGAAGGCTGTTGTTGGTTTAACGTCCGGGAAACAGCAGAGAACGTCTCGGCTAGTAAAAGCTAACCGATAGCATTAGCAACTCCACCACACAGCAGAACCCCTCCAGGCTTATGTTGATTGTGGAGATAAAACCTTAACGTTGCAGAGCAAACAGGTCGGTGGTAGAGTCACGTTGCTGTTAGCCAATCAGAGGAGAGTTGTCCAAACATCAGGAAATCCTGGTGCATTCAGCTCTCCTCGAATGAGGCTCACTTCTAGTTCCTAAAGCAAGCGCACTTGAACGTTTTCCACCAGAGCACGCCTGCAGTTGTATTCATTAAACGAGTGTCCCACACCTTTAAGCTAAAGTCTGGTAAATTGTGGATTCACATATTTTTTCTTTTCAAAAGGAACAAAAACAAGATTCAATCATTTAAATAGAACATTTACATCCTAATTAGGGTGAAAAATCTAATTATTTTTGTAGTTTAATCAAGGTTTCCTTGTGGGACCTGCTCAGGACGACAGAGCTGCTGCTGTGGGAAGCTGACTTTAGCTCCGGTAAAACATCAACCCATCCCTTCCGCTCCAGCCTGTTAATGAGAAAGCCTTGGGCGTGCCAGAGGGGTGCAGCTCACCCTGCAGTCTACACGATAACCTGTGCTCACATCTTTTAACGTGTTCTTCGTAAAACAGGTGAATTTAGTGATAATTAGTTCTCAGCCTTGTATTATTAGTCAGTAAATCCACTGGAACTCACTGTGTGATACTGATTTTAAGACTGATGCATAACAAGAAATGCATTGTTGTTTTGTTCGTTCTGGAGTAAACATTGTGGTTTTGGGTGTTTATGACATCAGCAGTAATAGTCACATGACCCTCTGCTGATAGCAGAGCATCATCAGTTCCAGAGTCTTAGGTCGGCACTGTGCTGGTGGCTGCGTTTCCTCCGTCGCCTCGCCAGTCCAGGTAGGACAGAAAAGCACTCGCGCCGTACGCCAGGGTCAGCACAGCCCCGAAGAACTGGAGGAGGAGGAGGACAGGAGTCAAACCTCTTAGAGCAAACCTTTATCATTCCTCCTTTAGGGCTCTCGCCCAAACCTTCACCTCCTATTAACCTTTGAACAACACAGCTCATTAAATCCCAACCTGTAAACGAGCTAACCTCCTGTTCTGTTAC